TTGCTTATCATTCCACCTTCTTTTTCCTGCACTACGAACCTCTAGCCTTTTTCTTTTATCCATACACTCTTTCCTGTAGCCTGTTTCTCCCCTCTCTGTGCGTCTGGAATTTCTCTTTAAGTCTTACCTCGCAACCCAAGTCCCTTTTTACCCCCAACCCTACCGCCCTTTTCCCCTTTCTCCCCCTCCCTCTCCCCATACCCCCCACTCCCCCAGGGCAGATGGCTTATGTTTCGGAGCTGCTGCTGTCTGCGGGCGCACGTGATGTCTGGATGGTCAATGTGAGTCAACGCTGGTCAACGTGAGTCACGCTGGCTAATATAGGGGTCTATCCTAGTCAACGGTCAGATGGCTTATGTTTCGGACCTGCTGCTGCCAGCGGGCGCTCGTGATGTCTGGATGGTCAACGCATGTCAAACCTGTCCAATATCATTCAATGCTGGTCATTGCAAGCCTAGTGTGAGTCAATGCAGGTCAGGCGTGATGAAATAAGCATGTGCCTATAAGCACACTGTCATTTGAGGTGGCGTACTCAACTTTCATCATACCTTCCCCCTGTGAAATGAGTCATCATAAGCCCTCTTGGAAATAAAGCCTTCACCGTCGTCCTAGGACCTAGATGACTCGAGACATCGTTCAATCGAATCAAGGCCTACCCGTTCTCTTGGTGCGACCCCACGATGTGTCCTCTTCTCTGCTTCTCCTCTTGAACACCACTACTCCCACACAGGCCATTATGAAGAAAGTGCAGCCAGGCGTGGTGCTGCATGTGCTGTGCGATCGTAGCCAGTGCGCCTCAAAAGAGCCACCGCCATCGCACTCCGTGCCTTCTCCTCCCCACACACACAGGCAATCATGAAGAAAGGGCGGCCAGGCATGGTGCTGCATCTGCTGTGCGATCGTAGCCGGTGCGCCTCAAAAGAGCCACCGCCATCGCACTCCGTGCCTTCTCCTCTCCACACACACAGGCCATCATGAAGAAAGGGCGGCCTGGCGTGGTGCTGCATGTGCTATGTGATCGTAGCCAGTGCGACGATATGCTATCTATCATTCTCAATGTACGTGTGTTTGTCCCTTTTCTTTTTCATTTCTCCTGATAATGTATCACTTGTTACTCATCTCTGTCGCTCGTACTGTATGTGCTTAGTACGCACTGTGTTCACTGTGCATTTAGCACATCGTCCTCTTTATGAACTGGTGAGCCGGCGTACAATTCATGAAGGATGTTGAAGGTGCTGTTTGGCCAAGATCAATCCCGTGCTCCTGTTTCCCTGATCCTGCGTTACAGGAGACGACCACTTTGGGAGTGCGCATAGTGCCATGCGAGCGTGTGGCAATGCAGAGGCTGATGGAGAGTGCTCTCACGCCCTGGGGATGGGTGCCGGTCAAGGCCGGATACCTGCAGGGAAAGCTGGTAAGTCCGTATCTTCCTGTTTGTTGAGAGTCTCGCACAGCGGTCCATGACTGAGCACGTTTTTTTTTTTTTTTTTTTTTTTTTTTTTTGGCAGGTGACAGCTACAGCAGAGTATGAGCCATGTGCTGCAATTGCACGAGAGAATCACGTCCCTCTTAAGGTATGAACTTGCTTTAGAACCCTACTTGGTGTTTCCTCCACTCTTCATTACTTTCTACAAATGCAAAAAAAAAAATTGTTAGGGTGGACATATAGTTGGCATACATTTTTTTAAGACCCGGGTGTGCTTATTTGTCTAACAATGTTATGGGATTTACCATATAATGTTCGTTTTAAGGGGGGGGGGGGGGGGGGAGGGGGGGGGGGGGGGGGTCTTATATTCGGTAACGAAAAACACCCCTCGTCTGATTTGTGTCAGAATTCGCGCCTGACACACAAAAACATGTCAGAATCGAAATCTGACACATACAGCGTGTCAGAATTCGAAATAATGCCTAAAAAACCTGACGCGCAATTGCATTTACGACTACTGTATGTAAAAGGGGGGTCTTATATTGTTTATGGGCAAAAGGGGGGTCCCCACATTTTGGTACTAAAATAAGAGTCCCAGTATCCCATAGAGAGTCCCGGGGGACCCTTGTACCGGCGGGCAGGCCCTCAGATATCAGGCTTTTTACCCTGATTTTACTGATTTTCAGCTTTTTTTTCTGTACCAACCTTGAACTTTCAGCCCTTTTTATTTTGTAACCCTGCTGCATCAGGGTCGCTAAAAGTGAATCTGAGGGCCTACCGGCGGGTCCTATAGCCGGAATAATACGGTATTGTATGGTAAGAATGAATGGCACTGCACTAATACCTTCTTATCTTGAGCTTGTGCAGGATGTTAAGTTCGCTGCAGAAAAATGGTTCATTGAGAACGATGCTCATGAGCAGAATCAACTGGGCATGGGGTGATGACACATGACCCAGCCAATTACATCGATACTTCTATCAGGAGCCCAGTTATATCGATACGTGTTTACGCGTGCTACGCCACCAGTTTATATGACTGAAAAGTTATTTGTGTTTTTTGGATTTTCATTTTATTTTTCCTGTGTTCTCACGTTTCTAGTGTGATTTAGTAAAGCTGGAGTAGCATAATGCGATGTGTTGTAAGCTTCGCTATTATGTTGTGATGTGCTGAGCGAAAATCATGCATTTGCGCTGCTGGACTCAGTTCTTTAGTAAAGTAGATATCACCACGTGCATTTCCTTAGGCCTTGGAACTCTGTCCACGTCTTCTGCCGCGTCACCACCAGGTCGTTGCGCACCTGGTGGATTACACATGTGTGGGGCAACAAATATGCGGCTTGGCGCAGTCACAGCCCTTCGACAATGTCATTGCCCGGCCTAAACCTGTCGGTCGAGAGTCTGCGATGACCACAACAAGCGGTTGCGACAGATATAATGGGGTCTGTGTGGTTACCCCTTGAATATAGTGACAAATATGAGAACAGAATGGCACCGACGAACGAACATTAGCGACGATCCTTCACGACCGTCATGTCTTTTGGACTCCCAACTACAGCTGGCGGCGACTCGCTTGTCTCCTCTCCCCAAAGGCTTCAAACCCCAAAGGCGATGGCATGTGTTGTGCTCGTCCCTTCCGCTGCCCAGCATGTCTGTAGTTCTACATCACCACAGCAAAATACACGATTTGCTTCGTGATTCACCGCCACAGAAAAATACAGTTTCGGCTTCCTGCTTCATGAGAGTTCGCCTGCCTTAATTTTCTGCTTGCGGGCAGTTTTATTTAGTGGGTCAATCTATCTCCGCCAACTCCGCTGGTTTCCTCCCGAATTCACGTCCACCACCAACATGCACGCTCGAGCCGCGATGCATTCCAAACTCATCACGATGTTCATTCGTTCATGCCCGTCTCTTCCAACAACCCATATTTCGACCCTGCCCTAATTCCCCGTGCTCCAATTCCTATGTCGAAGCTCCAAGCCCTCCAATCTCACAGCCTCGAGTTTGCATTTCAACCCGCCATGGTCAATTCAAGTAACCCTTCCGCGCTGAGCTGTCGTCCTACCTCGAAGTTTCATCATTTTCCCTCTCTCGACGCCCCCTGCTTTCTCACGCTCCTCTGTCGCTTCCGTTCCGAACCCTCGCTTTCTTCCTCCAGAATCACACGTCAGCTGCTAGCAATTGCAACTCAGCTTCACCGCAAGCCAGGCTTCGTCAACCCTTGCTGCTTCCAATATCTCTGGTGCTGGGCCTGCTGGGGACTCAGTCTTCCCACAGCCTGACGTATTAAACCCTCTCCGGCCGTTCCCAGTCAAGAGAAAGCCTTTGTCGGAAATCACTCGGCTCCGTAACAGAGTTTAGTGGCGTAATCCCCGTTTCCGGCATCCTGACACTCTCGATCAGCATATTCAGTCAAATAGAATTGTCCATGGAAAATAATCGTTTTTTTGCTTAGTACTAGGAGGAGTTTCGTAACCGGAGTCCTGTCAATTTCGCGTCCCAGGAGGGACTCGGTGCGTCCGAGTCTTCTCACGAATCCTCCTGGGAGCAACGCGAAGCTTCAACGCATTTTCAGGCCTGCAGTTTCGACTCTTCTCAATCACTAATCAATAAGTAGTATCATCACGTCTTTAATCTGCTAAGGTCCCCAGGCAGGGCCGGGGAAATGACCAATCGCGGCCGCCTCGCTTCCCCTGGATCTCCAGAGGGGCGTCGGCAGCGTCGATCGATCGGACGTCAGCAGCATCGGCAGCATCGATCCACCCCAATTCAAAGCGTAACTCCGATCCGACCGATTAAAGCAAGCGGCGGTGCTTCCTGGAAGGTGGTTTTAGCGGCTCGCGTCTCAGGAGAATCAACCTGCGTTTTTTCGACTGTTTTCGAGACGGCGTCGTCTTCCGCAGCGGTGTTTGAAGCATCGTTACGAGCCGCGTCTGCAGCTCCAGACCAGCGTAACGCGCGATTCCTCTCAACGTCATTCGAGGTCACCTCGAAGACGGCAGGCAACGACAGGCTGTCGGAAGATTTGTTCCGAAGCGTTCCAGCTTTTGCTGAGTCTGCTGGCTCGCTGGCGCGTCGACAGCCGTCGCACGCCGCGCCGTCGCACGAGTTCGTGATAGTTAAGGGGGGAATCCGTCGTCGAGAAGCGTCTTCCAGCGTCGCCGACGCTGGCGGATTCGGCGCTATCGCAGCTGCAGTCGTCAATCCAACTCCAGGCTCCGCGCTGATTCCGCCGTGGGTCGCGCGGGCACGTCTCTTGGTCAACCCGTCCTTGGCCTCTCTCTGCATCACGCGCCGTCCGTTTACGTTCCATCCGACTACATCTCGTCCCGTTACACCTCTTTTCGTTACACCTCTTCCCGTTACGTGTCAGCGTGTTATCGCCGCAGCCGTACTGTCCTCCCCTCCGGGTCGCTTTCTTAAGTACCGCACTTATCGAAGGCTAGGATCGCCCTGGAATCCAGGGAAGAACCAGGACTAAGTACCGTTCAGTAGAATATCTGTCAGTTTTAGTAGTAACCGGCGATAGTGTTTGTGGCTTTAAGGGGCAGGTTGTTACCACACGGTTCCTGTTTTCTCAGTTCGTTGAGCTGTCACTGCCACATGTCACGATGTCATTCCCTCCGGAACCGTCCAGCGCGGCGTCGTCGTCGTCCACGTCACCAGCATCCATCGGCACGTCAGCAACTGCCGCCGCCACGTCATGGAAAGCTGAGGTGGAGGCAGGGGGATTTTCGCCGATTGCACCTGGAAGGAGAGACTTCACCACTGTTACAAATGCGCGGGAAACCACTATTGTTAGGGAGGGTGCGCTGCGTGCGAATAGTAGCAGTCATGGATTTGCTGGTCAGATGGAGGAGAGGAAGAGACAAGAGCGAGAAGCTGAAGCACTCCAGCAACGGCAGCCGCTGCAGCGGCAACAGCAGTACCAGCAGCAGCAGCAGCGTGAGGAAGAGCATCTGGAACAGCAGACCGAGGAGCGGAAGGAGCAGGAGAGACAAGATCAGAAAGAAGAGCATTGGAGTGTGCCACGTGAGTTACACAAGACCCAGAAACTGGCAGCAAGACATGGGGTTGGAAGAAGGAAGCCGGTGCCGCGCGAGGGGGAGGAGGGGGAGTGGGGGGATTGGGGGGACGAGGAGGGGGGTGCGCAGGGGGAAGGGGAGCTACACCATGGGGAGCGCATGCGGACGAGAGGGGGAAAAAGGGGAGGTGGCGGAAGGGGAGGAGGCTTGGGGAGGGGAAGGGGAGGGGGAGGAGGTGTGAGTGGCGTGGGGGGGAAAGGTGAATGGGGAAGTGGAGAGGGAGGGACTGGAAAGAGGCAAAAGTATGCCAGTACAAGTTCTTGGGAGGGAGCTGGAGGGGCAGGAGGAGGAGCAGAAAGGGGGGATGGTGTTGCTTCTCTGGGCGCTGGGGAAGGGGCCGAAGGGGAGGATGGGGCAGGAGGAGCGAGAGGGGGGACCACGACCGCCATCCGAACCTCCTCCTCGGCAGGCCGAGCCTCGATGCTAGGTCCGGCAGCGGCGTTGGCTCGGGACCGCCACTCCAAGGTGCCAACCGCCCGGGGCATGCGCGATAGGCGGGTGCGCTTATCAGCGCCGGCAGCGACCTCGTTCTATGATGTGCAAGATAGGCTCGGTGCGGATACCCCCTCTGCTGCACTTGAGTGGCTGCTGTATCATGCCCAGCATGCCATAGCTCGGCTGCCGAAACAGCCCGCACGTTCGGGAGGACCAGGCTCGGCAGCAGGTTTTGAAGGAGGTGCGGGGCTAGGTGCGGAAGAGGAGGCTGCTGGGTGTGGTGGTGGTGGTGCTGTTCGGGGTAGTGTGGGCATTCGTGCAGGTGCTGGTGTCATTGGCTTTAGTGGTACTCGGATAAGTTCTGCTGCTGCTGCTGCTGGTGCTCTGCCAGCTTCTGCTGCTCCTGAGGCGCCTTATAGCGAGGATAAGGCAGTAATTCCAAAGTTGCCACTTCCGCCACTTTCCCATGCCACACCACGCGGCATCGGCATTGGCAGCAGCAGCAGCAGCACCTACAGAGGGGGTTACAGCAGCATTTTTCCTTACTCCACTTTCCCTCCTCCTGACCCTGCTTCTGCTACTGCTGCCGCCACGGCTGCCGCTGCTGCAGGTTACCCTGCTTCTGCCGCCGCCGCTGCTGCTGCTGCTGCCGCTTCTGCTGCTTCTTTGACTGGTTATGGCGGCCCTCATTATCCCAGTGTGCCTGCTGCTGCTGGCTATGGCGCGTATGGCATGCCTCTTCCGTTCTTTGGTGACACTTCTGCTGCATTTGGGTTGACAGGACAAGGGGGGTTACCAGCAGGAGGAGCGGAGGTTGGGGGAGGAGGAGAAGCAGGAGGAACGGTAGGGGCAGAAGGAGGAGGAGCGAGATTTAGAGGCGCTTTTGAAGCAGGGAGGTATTTGTACGGGTATTTGCCCTCGGGACATATTCCAGCGGGTTATTTTCCCGGGGTGATTTACCCCAGCGGTTACCCGGGTAACCTTCCCAGCGGCCTCCCAGGGCTTGCTGGGATGGCTTTCCGGGGAGTAGCAGCAATACCACCAGGAGTGTTCGACAGAGGAAAAGGGGCAGGAGGAGAGGCAGGAGGTGTGGGAGGGATTGAAAGAGTGGAAGGGAGAGGGGGAGAAGGTAGAAGAGGAGGTGGAAGGGAGGAGGGAGGGAGGGGGAGGGGAGTGGAGGGAATAGGGAGGGAAAGGAATGTGGAGGAGGGAGGGAGGGGAAGGGGGGTGGAACCCAGGACCGAAACCGAGGCACAAGTCAAGTCTCAATCCAGGATTGTAAGGGAGAATACCGGCACGCATGCTTTTTCTCACGAGGCACCTCCTGGCAAGGCCGAGGGCAGGGAGGCCCAACGCCATATGCAGGCTTCCCAGGTCCCTCACTCTCTCAACTCCCCAGCTCCGCGTTTTGATTCGCCTCATAGATCGCATGAAGCAACTCTCAGGAAGGCTGGGGAGTGGCAGGCGGAGGCTTCGGCGCACCCTCTCAGCTCTCCCCTTCCTCTTACTTCTCCCCCATGCCCTGTCGCTGTTGTGGCCCTTCCCTCTCCTGCTCCTGTTGCTCCTGCCACTTCTGCTTCCGCTGCTTCTGCTTCTGCTGCTTCTGATTCTGCTGCTTCTGCTGCTGCGGCTTCTCCTCATCCCATTCCTGGTTCTGCTACGGTTGCTGCTGTTGCTGTTGCTTCTGGTGTTTCTCCCCTCTCTCCTGCTGCTGCCGTTGCCACTGCACCTCCCTTTCCTCCTCCTACTGCTGTTACCACTGCTCCTCCCTTTTCTCCTCCGCCTGCCACTGCTTTTCCCAAGGCCTCTGTCATTTCTCCAACTCCTCTTCTCTCTCTCCCCCCTCCTTCCTTCCCCCCCACATCGGATGAGGCGCCTCACAAGTTCTCTCCAGCCCCTCTTCTGTCTCACCCTCCTCCTTCCATACCCCCTGCCTCTCTCCCCTCTCTCACGCTCCCTCTCCGTTTCCCCTGGGACGAGGAATTCTCTCTCCTGAGCTCCAGAGGGGGTCAAAATGCCCCAGGTGAACCCTCAGGTGCCCCGTCTGTTGCTCCAGGTGGTTTTCCTGATGCTTCAAGTGCCTTGGCCTTGTCTCGTCCTGAGCGGTTCTCTCCTGGGGGCATTGCAGGGGTGAGCACGGGAGGATATGGAGCAGAGAGTTACAGTGTATTGGGTTTCGCACCAGGTGGTTACATGTCACAGGGTTACATGCATGAGGGTTACATGCCTGAAGGTTACCCATTAGGGGGTAGTGGGTACAACATAGGAGACTTGAGTGCTGGTGGTGGGTTGGGTGGGAGTGGCGTTGGTGGTGGGATTGGCGTTGGTGGTGTGAGTGGTGGGAGTGGCGTTGGTGGTGTGAGTGGTGGGAGTGGCGTTGGTGGTGTGAGTGGTGGGAGTGGTGCTGCTGGTGTTAGTGGTGGGAGGAGGGTGGGAATACGGGCACATGCAAGGGAAAGGGCCCGTGCTCGTGCTGCTGCTGGGACCACAGGAGCCTCTGCTGCTCCTGCTCTGGGTACTGCTCCTGCTCTTGCTCCTTCTCCTGCTCCTTCTCCTGCTGCCTCTTCTCCTCCTGCTCCTGCCCGTACTTCTTCTTTTGCTCCTGTTCCTGCTCCCCCTCCTACTACCGCTCCTGCTTCTTCTCCTGCTCCTGCTCCTGACCGTGCTCCTGCTTCAGCAGCACCACCATCACCAGGTGCACCAGTATCTCGTCCTCATGCCATCAGATCGCCTAGTGCATCTACCCTGGTTTCCAAGGCAGATACACCTCTCCTCGCCCTTCCTCACGCTCACCAGTACCATCAGCCGCACCAGCTTCTCCAGCCACAGCAGCAGCAGCAGCCGCAGCAGCAGCAGCATCAGCAGCAATACCAGAATCAGCATCAACAGCAACAGCAGCTGCTACGGCAGCAGCAGCAGCATCCACAGCAGCAGCCAATGCACCCGCCCCCGCTGCTTACCCCTCGCCCTCCCCCTCCGCTCGCCCCTGCCTCGCCCGCTCATGCTGCCGTGTACACCCACCCAAGTCGTTCTACCGATGCAAGAGACAGTGCTATGGCTGGTGCTGCTGCTACTGGCAGTGCTGGTGGTGGTCGTCGTGAAAACGCTGCTCCTGCTACTGCTACCGCTGCTGCTCCCACTGCAGCAGCACCTGGAAATGGCATTTCCTCTCAGGAGTTGAATTCCGGCTATCCACGGTTCAACAACATGCCTTTCCAAGGCCAGCATGGCTTGCCGCACCCACATGACATGCCACATGACACACACACGTTGCATGACATGCATATGCCCACGCACATGTCCATGCACATGCCTGCATACATGCCCCCGCACATGCCCATGCACATTCCCACCCACATGCCCGCACATATGCCCGCACACATGCCCATGTCGCCTTTAGAGCATCGCTTCAGCCTGTCTGACCTGTACCATGACCACTCGTCCTCGCCCTCACATGAGTTTCCATTCCATGACCATGACATGCATAGGGATTCTCTGCATGACCATGATCATGAACATGGTAACATGCATGGACACTCGTTGGATGGCCATGCCCATGAACATGAAATGCATGGGCACTCGTTGCATGACCATGACCATGACATGCACAACATGCATGTTGGTTCTGAGACGCATGGCATGCATGGTGTTAATGACACACGTTGCATGCATGACAACCCATGACTTAGCATGAAAAGCATGGCATACATCAGGCGCGTGGCACACATGCGCATGGTGCACACATATTACATGCACGGCACACATCATGCGGCGACATTTATAACTTGGATGGCACACAGGCATGACATGGGTGTCATGGGTAAGTGTTGAGGCGTTGCATAAAGAATGTTGATAATGGAAGTTTCGCTTGCTTTCTGCTTTTCTTTTCCTTTCCTCCCTGCCACAACATAGAATGTGATCATAGATGTATCAGTCGGTAGTTTCGTACGGGATGATTGGAGAATGGGCACTGGAGTTTTTGTGGAGTCAAATATAGCAATACTGTATACAGTCTATGCAAGTATAGTAGGAACGAGGGTTTGGATGAACTGCTGCTGCTCTTTAGTTCTATCATGTGCAATTTCTCTTCAACGTTATGTGAATTGGGCTTTTGGAGATTGTACATGGTTCAAATTTACCATGTACGAGCTGAGCTATAAATCTAGAGTTTGCACTTTCACTTGTCCGTTGGCTGGAGTTGGGGGTCAACATCGCGGATGACGCGCGGAAAGGATGCTTTTGGCTTTTCAATTCCACCCAATGGCCGTGAGCGGTGCCCTACATTTCAGGGAAACGTTGCACGGCGGCACGGCCCGCGCGGCCTGCGCGGCCTTCCGGGAATCTCTGGGGCTCCAGCCAACCCGCTAGCTAACTCTCTCTCGGAACCTCCGTGGCGGAACTAAAAGGTTCTCTTTCATCGAGCTAAACGTTTCTCTTTGGTAACGCTTTTCTTGATTTTGCTTCCGCGGTTTGTTTTTATTGGTTGGTCGGTGTGTATCTTCGCTCCAGAGCACCTAGACTTTTCAAGCGGCAGATCGGCATAATCTAGGGTGCAGCCAAACGGCTTTATCGAGGCCATTCTCAGCAGCATTCGTCCTTCGATGGTTTCCGCCGATGGCTCTTGGGCCCTCCAAGTGTCAGTGGCTTGTTCCCACTTTTCGTGTTGTCACGAACTCCTAACTGGTTCAGTGTTTATCAAGCGTTGTCTAAACGAGTCACTGCGGAAAACGTTTGGCTGTCTACAAGACTGTATTAGTAGTTACGAAGTCGACTCGAGGCCACTCTCCACACACCCTTCTGAACTCACGATCATCCGAGACCAAGGTTCCCTAGCTGTTTCTCGACAGTTCCATTGTATTTACTGAGAGGAGACTGAAACGCATTATTGGTTTCGTCACGAGTCAGGAGTGACGGTCTGAGCTTCGGTTTTACCAGACGAAGTAGCAGACTATGGCGGACGCACAGGGAGTGAGCATGCTATGCATGCACATGGACGATCGCCTTGCTCCCGTCTCTCCACGGAGCTGTCACGGTGGTGATTCGTATCATCACCTCAGTCAGAACCGTCCAACGATGAATCTGAGCCGTTCAGCCGCTTCGGCCGAGGAAGAGAGCTCTGCTTCGAACTTTACATGGCGTATTCTGCTGAGCAAGCGTATCTCGTGCAAGATGTTCAAGTCATGTGAAAATGGACTGGGAGTTGGGTCCACAGACGGGTCATCGTCATAGCGACCACGTAGTCTATGGAGAGGAGCTGTGTATGTGGAGTGTCTATATATCCGTTCTGCATGTACATAATCTAAGACTTGTACAGCACAATCTAAGTTAGACCAGTGCTTAGCTGTGGTCTTGTCTGGGTAGTGCTGTGTCAGGTAAGCAATGTGTCTGAAGGTAGTAACACAAAGCAAGCACGCATTTCAGAGCATTACATAGTGATAGCATGCTCACTAGGAGTTCAACTCTACAGTGGCAAGACTTCCACAAACCAAGATTCTAACACACACACACACTCCCATACTAAGCACGTACAAAGTATACGATACCCAATATACAGTTCGTATAGAATGTATGACAGGGTTGCGAAATCTGAGATTGGTTGACTGGTTGTGCGATGTGTGACAGCTGGAAGGGACGTATGATCGAATGTGTGACCATTGCTCGCTGGGCTGTGGAATGCATGGCAATTGGTTGATGGGAGGTGGGGTTTGTGACTCTTGGTGGACAAGAGTTGTGCAATGTGTGACTAATGGAGGCAGGGATGTGGCAGTGTGGTGACTGGTGGCAGGGCTGTGAAATGTGTGACCAACTGTGGATGGGTTGAGGAATGTGTGATGACTGGTGGACGAGTTTTGGGGTGTGGGAGGATTGGTGGACTAGTCGTGGGAGGATTGGTGGCAGGACCATGGAATGTGTGACGATCGAATGGATGGTCGTGGAATGTGTGACGATTGGTTGGTGGACTAGTCGTGGACAGGCCATGGAATGAGTGACGATTGGTGGAGCGGTTGTGGAATGCGAGGCGCTTGGTGGAATGCGAGGCGGTTGGTGGAATGCGAGGCGGTTGGTGGAATGCGAGGCGGTTGGTGGAATGGGAGGTGGCTGGTTGACGGGCTGTGAACGATGCCACAGTTGCAATATGTGCCAGCGCTCTTCTCCGAAAAGGTAGAACAGGTAACCGCCTCGTGTAGGGACGACCTTGACTTTTGAGACGCCTCAAAAGTCGCCTTCAGAAAGAGAAAAGTAACCACCCTATGTGGGGACGACCTTGGACATGATCTCCTCTGTGGTGACGCCAATCATCTCATTGGCACGCTTGAGAGACACAGGCGAGTAGAACCCAGCAGAGTCCTGCAGCAAGAGGAGGGTGGTGGTTGGGGGAGAGGGGGAGAGGTGGTCAGAAGATCAGTTCAGACAGATCAAAGGTTTCACCTTTAGTCGAGCTGCTCAGTGAACGCAGACATCCTACTAGGTTTGCATGCTTGCAAAGACATACCTTGTAACCTTGGTGACAAGGCCGAGCACTGTGAGCTTGTTGCTTGTGGGCATTCCCAGCTGCTACAAAAACTCAAACATCCCACCCCACTAGCTTTGCATGCTTGGAACGAGATTTGAGACGTCTCAAACTCGGTGCAACTCAGACACCCCTCTAGGTTTGTAGGTTTGCAACGACGCACCAGGGTGACGAGGCCGAGCGCTGTGAGCTTGTTGCAGGCATCAGCAACGTCAAAGTCAAGCTGCTCGTTGAACTCAGACATCATTAGGTCCTCACACCTCTCATCCAGCTCCTGAAACAATCAAAAGTCACAAGTGCACGGAATTCTGAGTCGACAATAAACGGCTCAAACCTCTCATCCAGCTCCTACACTCCTACATGCTGCGTGTTGCGAGTACAACCGTCGCAAATTGCAACGGTACCGCATGGGAGGATGCAACGAGAAAAACAAACAAAACAAAGAAAGGGAGACACGTTGCCTGACCTGAAGTGTCGCCTTTCCCTGGGTCATGAGAATGTAGAAAGAGATAATGACCTCCTTGACCTGCTCAGCACACATCATCCAATAGGGGAGACGAAAAGAGTGTGCAAAAGATGAGTTCTGATGCCCCTCAAAGGAATGTAGAGGGAGATTACCATCATTGGCCTGCTCAGCACACAGCTCCGGTTACGACCGACGGTGTTTTTGCGTTGTAAAATGTTGGGGTTGCAAAAAAAAAAAGTCTCAAAACCCAAAACAAGTGACCAGAAATGTGAGCCAGAAGGAGATTGTACCTCCCCCGCCTTGCCCCCTCACACACACGTGCGCACCTCCTGTTCAATGACTTGGTGGAAAATGTTGAGCAGCGTGCCGTTGCCACTGTCGAGTGTGCCATCTTCCCAACTACACTTACCCACACCTCAAGCACACTCAGACACACACGTGCGCACCTCCTGTGCAATGACTACGTGGAAAATGTTGAGCAGCGTGCCATTGCCACTGTCGAGCTGCTTTTCGAGTTTACTCGAAACTTCCCTCCCCCCGTTACACTCATAAACCCACACCAATGCGCACCTGCGCCTCCCCCTCCTCCATACCCCACACTAACACACGCGCGCACCTCCTGTTCAATGACTTGGTGGAAGATGTTGAGGAGCGTGCCGTTACCAATGTCCAGCGTGCTGTCTCCCCCTCTACACCCACCCACCCCTCAAGCACGCACTCGCACACACACACACACACGCACCTCCTGTTCAATGACTTGGTGGAAGATGTTGAGGAGCGTGCCGTTACCAATGTCCAGCGTTCTGTCTCCCTTTCTACACCCACGCACCCCTCAAGCACGCACTCGCACACACACACACGCGCGCACCTCCTGTTCAATGACTTGGTGCAAAATGTTGAGCAGCGTGCCGTTGCCACTGTCGAGCGTGCCATCTTCCCAACTACACTTACAAACACCTCAAGCACACTCAGACACACACGCGCGCACCTCCTGTTCAATGACTTGGTGGAAGATGTTGAGCAGCGTGCCATTGCCGCTGTCCAGCTGCTTGGCATACATGGCGTTCATCATCGCCTGGTTGTATGCCGCCATCTTGCTCTGGTAGCTGGGAGGAGGAGAAGGGGGTGCAGGTGGAAGTGGGGGGATCGGGCCACAAAGAGCTGCTTGGCATACATGGCGTTCATCATCGCCTGGTTGTATGCCGCCATCTTGCTCTGGTAGCTGGGAGGAGGGGGGAGATGGATGGGAGGAGGATGGGGATCACTACGGGCTGCTTGGCATACATGGCATTCATCATCGCCTGGTTGTATAACGCCATCTTGCTCTGGTAGGTGAAGGAAGTGGTGGGAGAAAAAGGGCACTAAGAGCTTCGAAAAGACCCTACTTGACTCTCAGAATCATGTACTCACCACGCAGATTCGACATCATGGAGGAGAATTTGAAGTTGACTCCGAAGGTAGGTAGGTCGGGTACTTACGCAGTGTACATCTTGGAGAAGTAGGCAAAGACTGCAGCTGCATTGTGAGGCGCCTCAACACTCGGATCCCAATGCAGGTGCTGAAGCTTGAGTGCAGGTAGGCAGGTTACTCACGCAGTGTACATCTTGGAGAAGTAGGCAAAGACTGCAGCCCCGATGGTGTAGGCCACTGCAACGTCAAATTTCTCGA